TGACGGGGTCTTGCCTCTGAAGGAAAAAAATTGTGATGTATTATATACATATGTATAAATATTTCTTAGTAACAAAAATAGTGAAAATATAAGCTTTGATAGTTTGATCCCCATTATATAAATTCTTTGAGCCTCCGCCTCCGTAACCGGCCATTCATGACTCCGCTACTAGTTGAAGCTATGCTTTTATATATACGTTATGATTTGGAAGTTGAATATCAATTCTCATTTCTTTAATGGATTTATATATTATTGCTTCACTTCCATTCTACCTCTTCTCTACGTACCCGCATCCATACCAAAATATTAACCACTGACACAGACACACACAGCTGCATGTTAGCTAGATAGACTAAATTCAGCATAAACCTTAAAAAGCTATTCAACATGAATAAACTCAAGAAATGATAAGAATTACATAAATGAAATAGTTTGTAATCTCGAAACTAAATTCACTAAATTGTGAGCATTTGGGTGAGATAACAATTAATAAACTTCGAATGAAGTGCATCTATGAGGTTAGTTGGAGCTGTGTATATTACAAGATTAAGCACACGTTATTAGGGCCAGATGGGATGCAATAGATCTTAGTCAATGAAATGATTGTGAATTGAAGGTATTAATTAATGAACAATGACATAACATTGTGCTACAATTCCATGGTCAAACTAGAGTCCCTCATCAGGCTGATCTTCCTTAATGCTCTGTTTGGATAGAGTGAAGTTAAGTAAACCTAGTGCAATAAAGTAAACCTAAGTTTTAATAAAAACTAGGTTAATCTAAGTGAACCTAGGTCCATACGTAAAATAGTGTTTGGAAATATATAATATGAACCTAGGTTAATGTAATAAATGTTGTTTGGATGAAGGTACTTTAATTCATTTTATGTTAAACGAGAACTTAACCTCCAAAACTCCCCGATTCGGAGTTTTTTCAATTTATGGTTCTTCCAGGTTCTCGGGAGAGTTAAGTGAGGTTAACACATAATCTAGGTTCTTGTTGGAAAAATACAAACAAACGGGGTTAACTAGAAATTGAACCTTCAATAACCTAGGTTAACCCCCAAACAAACAGGTCATAGGAGTGCTACGATACATTTTCTTCTAAGTAGGAGTAAGTTACTAATATCTGAATTACTGTCATATCTTGACATTACTTTGTTTTTAACATGACAATATATCATCATACATAAGTTACAATATTTTCCAGATTCGATAGTAATTACTTCTATTTAAGAAATCAAAGCATAACACTTTTATTTTGCATTCCAAATGTTTTTACTTCTCTATTTAAATAAAACAATTTCTTGTACCTATTCATATCTTTTTTTTCACATATTTTCAGTTGTGTTATACCCCAAAGGCGCATGATGACCCGTGTCACGTAAGTTCAAATAGAAGTTTAAATACAGTTTTTTTATTCAAATACAGTTTGTGTAACAAGGTTTTCTGGTTAACAATTGGCCAATTAATTCTTTTTAGTATGAATCACGAATGATCATAGGACCACTAACACATGTCTTAATATATACGGAGTATTCCGTATAACACTTTATTACTTTACATATTTTTGTGTGTAGGACTTCAACAGTGAAGAGTTAATGTATGGTTGCATAATTGCATTAGAGCTAGTATACTCTATAATTCTGTATGCAAAACGTTTTTTAATTGTAATCATGGTTTTTTTTGTTGAATATAAACTTATCGTGACTTAAAAAATCAAATTAATCAGTTTCGTGTCCCAGAAAGAAAGAAAGAAGCGAAAAGGTTGACAAAGAAGCGCTACTATTTATGTGAAACCAATTCTATGGATCGGCCCCAGTATGAGCCTATATCGTTAATATAATACATATATAGGGATCCAATCAGTATAAATAGGGATACATATATAGCCTATTTATGTGAAACCAATTCTATGGAGTAGTAATTAGTATGTATATATATGATGGGATCGAAACATATAATTGTGTATCACATTTCAAACGGCCATGTGAGGTAGGAGACCACCAACCAGCCATGTCTGAACTCTTAGGTTGCTTTCCGACGACATCTCTATTTGGTAGAAAGCTATAGGATGACTTTGGAGAAGTTTTTTGTTCTATTAGTTAGTATTTTATTAAATTTTATGTCTCTTTGAAATGGAAAACTCTTAATTTTGAAGAAATCATAGGTCATCAATTATTTATGTTTCATTCACAAAATACCCGAAATGAAAGTTGTGTAATACTACGTACTTACTACGTATTAAAGAATTAAAACAAACAAGTTTCATCTTTATGAGCGAAGGATTCTATTTGGAAACAAAAGCTGCACTAAAAAGTAGTAAAGTTATGTGAAATTTCAAAATAGATGTACTATTTCCCCCAAGTATTGTTATATATCATGCTTGAAAATACCATCAGTTATGACATAATACTGTAATATTAATGTTTGATAATGTCAAAATATACATGTATGATTTCATGATAGCAATAATTTATTCTCATTTAAGGGAAACACATGTTTCACAATTTTACATTGTTTTTACTCCTATTTTTCAAACAATCTTGTAGGTAGCCCTCCAATTTCAAAATTCATAGTCTTTTAAAATCCATCAAAGTCATAGTTGGGGACACCCCCTCAATTTATACTCTTGTTCTTCAAAATTTTATAAAATTTGATCGACACATGGATTAATAAAGTAAAAATGTTTGATCGAGATTTTTATAGAGGAGAGAAAACTGATATGAATCACAAATTGATTGATTGAAAGAGAAATTGACAAAATTTTAGGAAAAAGAAGGAAAGCTACAAAGTTTTTAAGGGACCGACGAGTATTAAGTAATATTCCTAGTATAGTGTGTAATTCATATCATGTGTAATAATATATTAATATTCCTTCTGTCCTTAAATGTTTGTCCTACCTTCCTGAAATGGATGTCCCAAAATGTTTGCCCAACTTTTTTCTTTCCTTATTTGGCAAACAAATCTTTATCAAAAAGTGTCAAACAATGCAAAACAATGTCACACAGTGTCGCTACAGTGTCAAACAATGTTGCTAAAGTGTCAAACAATGTCGCTACAGTGTAAAGTCAAATTCATTTCCTTAATATATGTGTAGCCAAACTAGAACAAACATTTAGGGACGGAGGTAGTAATATCTTGGTCTAACTAGGCTGACTGTGATCATATTCGGATTTAACTGTCTAGAGGCTTTGGAGGTAGTCAATAGACTCCAAGATTAAGGGAGCACAAGCACCGACATCTTGATCATAAAAAAATAAGTTTTATATATATAAGAAAATGTCAAAAGTTCCACAAAACATTACTTAAATAAAACACTACTGATTTGGTGATTTGATAGTTAAAAACACTACTAAAACCCTACTAATTTGGTGTTTTGATAGTTAAAAGTTGTGGTTTTTCAAAAATATTACTCCCTCGTTTCCAAAAGAAAGTCACAGTTTCACTCCACAAAGATTAAGGAAAAAAATTTACTGGGAGGTAAGTTTTACTGTAGAGTACAATGTTTTGACATTGTTTGACACCATTTTGTACTGTGTCATGGTAACTTAAGTTCAAAAATTAAATACTTCCCTCTGTTCCTTATAACTTTGCCAACTTTCTTTTTTTAGTTGTCCCAAAAACTTTGTCACTTTCCCTTTTAATCAATTAATTTGTGGTTCCTGTTATTTCTCTCTCCTCTGCACAAACCTCTACCACATAATTTTCAATTTATTATTCTACGTGTCGGTCAAATTTGGCAATCCTTTTAGGGACGGAGGGAGTATAAGATACTATGAAACCATTACTACTTTAGTCATTAGCCATATTTTTTATAAACAATCTTTATTTTAGTCATATATACTACGTATGTAATTATTTTTTAAAAGTTCTTAAAGAAAACTATGAAATAAATAAGAATGTTTTTACTTGAACTGTAATCTCTCCCAGACCAGACCAGACCAGACTTGGATAGTTATAAAAATACAAAGAAACCAGACCAGACCAGTTCAGACCAGACCATACCAGATTAGATCAGACCAGACCAGACCAACAAATTACACTCCAAGTAAAAACATCCTAAAAGGCAATTGGACCAAAGAATAATACTCCGTAATTCCGTATGTAAGATCCATTTGGGACCAAAAGAACATAACTTATATGGATTATATATTTAATGAATTAAGTTTTGATTAAATGTATAATTTTTTTGTTAAGAGGGAATCTATGTTTGGCATCAAATAGACAGACTATTATTGTTCCAAACGTGGGTTCCAATAATATATATTTTCTTTTTAACTCACTTTTTCTCAATAAGATTATATTACAAGCCGAACATACACTTTTTAAATTATGGAAGTGTGCCTCATAATGTTCTTTTCTGATTGTACTCTGCTTAGAGCCCGTTTGGAGAACTCTGTTTTCGGCTTATCAGGCTTATCAGCCAGCTTTTTCACCAAACACGTAACTTTTACTTTCGCGCGCTGAATTGTGTAATAAGCCGAAAAAGTAAGGTTGGAGTTACTTTTCTGGCTGTATTGGCTGAAGTTACTGTAGAGGACCATTTTAGCTATTTTTACATATAATTTTTTCTTTAATTTATTAATAAAATATATTTTTAAAATATTTTTTCCTTAAAACAGCAGAATCAGCCAAAACAGCCACTCCAGCCAGAATATCATAAATTTCAGCAGAATCAGCCAAAACAGTCGATTTTGGTGCTACCAAACGGGCTCTTAATCCTCCAATCCATCTACAAATGTTTCATTATCTTAAATTAAGCCACAAATCACTAGTAATCTGTATCTTAGCAGAGTCACAAGCGCTCTTTTTCTGGCTGACTGGAAAGTCTGGACTGGTGGCTTTCAGGATTTGCAGTGTAGACCAAGGAAAAACAAAGGACCCCCTACGCTTATAGCCTCCAGTTGTAACTTGTAATTGTTGCAGTGAGGTATCTTTCTATTCACTCTCCTATATAGTACTCGTACCATAATATACAAATACCAAAAATAAAATAAAATAAAAACACATCTAGTGACTCAATCTTGTTCTATATCACTACTCCAACCATTAGGTGTCGATTCTCTTAACTACCCATTCGTTTCCTTTTCCTCTTTGTGAGCATACTTCTTTCCCTCTCCTCTCTCTGCTTCTCTCTGTGCAGTTGTTGCGTCACTTTCTGGTACTTTGCGGTGCTGTTCTTCCTCCTCTCTGACCCAAAGAACTTCTTGGTTTAACTGTTTTTCTTACCATCTAAACACACATTTCCCCCATATTCGTTTTCTGTACTGGGTTTCCTAGCTAGCTACACTCTTCTTGGAATGGATACTTCTAGTTCTGGGGAGGATTGCTGTGTGAAAGTGGCGGTTCACATTAGACCGCTCATTGGAGATGAGAAGCTTCAGGGCTGTAAAGATTGTGTTACTGTAGTAACTGGGAAACCTCAGGTCTTTCATCTCCTCCTGCACATAATGTGTTTCTGAATCTTTGGGTTTTGAAAGTTCAATTCTTTTAAAGTGGTTTGGTATTTTTAATCTTTCGTTTCACCATTCCTTTGAGATCCGGATCTTTATGCTGCTAAGCTTCTCAAAGATGGTAACTTTTGGAGGAAAAAAACTTGGGAGTGAAGTTTGCAGCTGCTGCATGTATCAGCCTGGGGGGTTCTGTTATATGATCAGAATTTCCAATTAAATTGTTGACTTTCAAGTAGCACATTTAATGAACGAAGAGAATTTTACAAAGAAATGTCAATTTTGGTTTCTTAAATTTAGAGCACTGGGTATTGATAATGCTTTAATTTTGGAATAGTTGTGTCTGAATTCAGTTCTATACGGAAACGAGAGAAACTAGTTTCAAGAATTGTCGAAAGCAGTGGACTTTGCGTATTTGATCCCTAATAAGTGTCTGTGTGATTTAGATCTGCAGGAGGGTTATCTGATAAATACATACTGTAGCAAGTTCAGATGAAATTCACCTTGAAAAAGATAAATGTCATGCATGCTGTTTAATCTCACCTTTCATTTATTATCCTACTTTATCACTCAAATAGGTTCCAGACTCTCAATGTGAAAACAACTTTTTTCCCAGCCTGTAGAACTAAAGTCCTTTTCTTATCAGTAAACTCTTTTCTGTTTTTGCATCACTCTCTATATTATTTATTTCTCAAAAATTGTTCGGTCTGTGAATATTGTAAATCCTATGTTTGTCTGTATTTATGTTTGATTAATGAAAATGTAAATTCTTTGTCTAAAGTCTAAACCAACAAATCGTGCAAGCACAGATTTTATGACATATTTCAAGTTATATAGTAGTATATTTTTTTATTCATTAATCTGTAAAATCTATTTGTGGGAGTTTTTTTTGTTAAAACTATGAACTTGTAATAATTCCGTGTTCAATTGGACTGAACGTGATAATAAATCAACACTGCAGTGATCTGATTGTCATTTCTGGTTCAGGTTGCAATTGGATCTCATTCCTTTACATTTGATCATGTTTATGGGAGCATGGGGTCCACCCCGTCTTCCATGTATGAGGAATGTGTTGCTCCTCTTGTGGATGGTTTGTTCCAAGGATATAATGCTACTGTTCTTGCCTATGGTCAGGTAAGTCTTTACATTACTAAAAGTGATTTACCAGACATCATCAAGCCTTTTTACCTAGCGAATTTACATTGTATAAACATGACACAGACGGGTTCAGGAAAGACGTACACCATGGGTACTGGTTTCAAAGATGGATTCCAGACAGGACTTATTCCCCAAGCAATGAATTCATTATTCAGCAAAATCGAAACCTTGAAGCACCAAACAGAGTTCCAACTCCATGTGTCCTACATTGAGGTTTACTGCACTTCCTTGTACTTTATAGTTTTAAGGGACTAAGGGTATTGATATTAATACTTGTGGGTCTATCCTAAAATGTTAAATAGGAGCAGCTTAATTATCTTAATTTCTTATGTGCAGATACATAAAGAAGAAGTGCGGGATTTGCTTGATCCCAGCTGTATTAATAAATCAGAGGTTGCGAATGGGCATGTTTGTAAGGTAACGATCCCTGGGAAGCCACCCATACAAATCCGGGAAACGTCAAATGGCGTTATTACTTTAGCAGGTTCTACTGAGTGTAGTGTCAGAACTTTGAAAGAAATGGCTGATTGCCTGGAGCAAGGATCACTGTGCAGGGCAACTGGTAGTACAAACATGAACCATCAGTCCAGGTTATTATTCATCCAGCCTCTTCATTTTCTTCATTCTTGTTTTTGTTTTAAATGGAAAGTTCTTCCTTTACACTTGTTAGTTTTATGTAACTCGAGTACTTTTCAGTAAATGAAAGCCAAGAAAAGCAAATAGAAGAAATGTAATTGGGCATTCAGTCATCCATATGAGAATCAAATCGTTCAACATGGCTGTTCACTGGAGTGGCCAAATCTTTAACTTTGTGCTTTGTTGTTGAATTTAGTCCAATAGAGTTGTTGTGACATGCAACATATGACTATGCATTATATGTCTATTTGTCTTTTGGGTTCTCTCTTTGAGCTTAGTAGAATCGAGTTGCTAATAGGCTACGAGTCTACAACATGCAACATACAACAAGACTCCATATGTTGATTTGTCTTTTCTGTTTTAGGTTAATAGACTCTTAAATACTTTAACATATTACCTATGCCTTATAAGGTCATTTGTATTTTTTGTTTCAAAGCTTGTATTTTTATTATTTGCTATATCTTATTTGTTTATTCATTCCCTTTTCAGTCGATCTCATGCCATTTTTACCATTACAATGGAGCAAATGCAAAAGATGAATCCAACAGTTTCCATTGATTCAAATGATAGTGACTGCATGACCGAAGAATATCTATGTGCAAAGTTGCATTTGGTGGATCTTGCTGGATCGGAACGTGCAAAGAGAACAGGCTCAGATGGTCTCCGTTTTAAAGAAGGTCGGTGAAAATTTTCAAAGTTTCCTCTATCTTTATTGTTTATTTGGCCATTGTGAAGTTCTTGAGAGGATATATCCTTTTACAGGAGTTCACATTAACAAGGGACTTCTTGCACTTGGAAATGTTATCAGTGCACTTGGGGATGAGAAGAAGAGGAAAGATGGTGCTCATGTTCCATATCGTGATAGTAAACTCACTAGGTTATTGCAGGTCTGATACGGTTGTTCAGTTTTATATCAATTAGTTTCTCATCAGTTTTTGTGTCCTGATCTTAGTTTTTTGGGATATTGGCAGGATTCACTTGGTGGTAACAGTAAAACTGTCATGATAGGTATTTCCAGTAGAGAACTTATTTCTTCTTCTTATTAATTTATGTAATTTTTTTTCAATAACAGACAAAGCATGTCTATGATCATCTGAATTTGCTATTGAATACATGGGCTGAGCTAGGGGGTTATGCCAGGCCCCAGTCCACCCAAATTTAAAATAATCTTTAATTATTAGTGTGAAAAATTCATGTAAAAATTTATCCAAAAATATTCTTTGTACCGGGCTAGACCGCTAGACCTATATGCACATCTGGCTATGCCACTGGTTGCATACATTTGGTTATCTCACAAAATTGAGGGAGGGCTACTGTGGCCATTAACTTTAGGACCCCAGCATTATTCGGGCCAAAGGTCCTGGAAACCCATGTGAGGAATTCGAATAACCTCTGCTTTTTTTGAACATCTATTGAAAGCATCTATTGAACAACAAGATTGTGAATTCCTTTTATTTGTTTAAATTTACTCTATACCTTTGTATGTTAATTACAGCATGCATTAGCCCAGCTGATATAAATGCTGAAGAAACTCTTAACACTTTGAAGTACGCAAACCGAGCTCGGAATATCCGGAACAAGCCAGTTGTAAGTTTTTGAAGCAAGTTTATGATTTTATCATTTGTCCTACCAATTGATAGAATGTGTAATGAAATTCTGGATCAAATATATGATGCTTGATTATGCTCTATAAGTAATTTTTTTTCATTATCACCTAGATTAACCGGGATCCAGTATCCAATGAGATGTTGAAAATGCGCCAACAGCTAGAGTATTTACAGGCAGAACTTTGTGCCCGAGGAGGAGCTGCTTCATCTGGCGAAATACAGGTATATAGTTCATTAGTACCATAATGTGTCAAGAAAATTTTGGACCTAGCTCAACCCCTTACTAAGTTTATTCTTTAGTTAGCCGACCATTCAACCCAAAGCCTTTCATCTTGACCGTAATCCCCCCCCCCATCTGGACACACACCCCTCACAGATGAACACATTCCGCTGGTCTATGTGAATTCTTTTCATAAAAGTCACATTGTAGTTATGAAGATTTAAAGTTTTGTCCTAAAAGGTTAAGTCGATAGAGAGTAGTCCGTTTGTATTAGGTCAAGGCTTAGTCGGATCAAGTTGCTTATTTAAGATTTGAGGTTTTATGACTTTTATCCTAAAAGGTCTTCCTCATAGGACAGTAATTCAAGATTATGTCAATGATCACATTAAGCCTAACTGTAAGTCCTTAACTCATACAAACTTCAAAAGGTTGAACCCATGTGAAGTACTCTTCATCACAGTTTCATATGATATGTCACAATAACTTCCTTGCAACATTGAATGGATGACTACATTGTGGAAGTTCTAAATTTATAAATGATTATGCAGGCACTCAAGGATAGGATACTTTGGCTTGAAACAGCTAACGAAGATCTAAGTAGGGAACTACATGAGTACCGCAGCAAATGTGCTGCCACTCAACCGTCTGACATAGATACTAATGTATGTTTCACATGTTTGCTTATCCATATAAATTTATTATTGCCAGACGTGGTGCATTCTAAATCTATGATCATTTACTTTTAGGCCTGTGGTACCTTTACTGTAAAAAGTGAAGGGCTTAAGAGGGGTTTGCAAAGTATGGAGTCATCAGATTATCCAATGAGTGAGAATGGTATGAAATTGCTTGTCATTATGTAATTCGTACGAGAATGTCTGGTTTAATTCAACATTTATAAATAAAGATTCTTTTATTAGCTGTTCATTAATGTGTTCCTAGAAAATATTAGCAGGTGATCATGGAGTTGTGGATGACGAAGCAGAAAAAGAATGGGAACACTCTCTTCTGCAAGACTCTATGGGAAAAGAATTGAATGAGTTAAATAAACGTCTGGAACAAAAAGAGGTATCTTGATATTTCTTACCCCACATCTCAAACGGTTAAGGACTTAAGAGTCTCACATTGAAATACTAATGTTAGGAATTAGGATATGATTTTATAAGGCAAGGTCTTGGATAGATTAGCTCATTGATTAGTGATAAGAACAGAAAAATAAAATCAACGGGGTGAACCGTTGCCTAGATAATCAACGATAAATAAATACCGTTGCCCAAAGCCAAAAGGCTAAACCAACTTTTATTCCAAAATTATCAAGAATGAAGCATACAAGGGGTATAAATAACCCTCTAGGTCTAATAAGAATAGGAATCCTAATTAAATTAATCTAGGAAACTAAAATAGAATAGGAAACCTCTAGTTCTAATAGAACTCCTGATTAAATCATTCTAGCAAACTAAATAGAAATAGGAAACCTCTACTTCTAATAAGAATAGAAGTCCTAAATAAATCCTACTAGGAAACAAATTAAATTAGGAAACAAAATAAAAGGAATAATAAATATTAATTAAACAGCCCGCAACCAGCCCACGGAGGTGGGCTCAAGCCTGTCCCGCCCCATGCTCTTCCTGCTTCATATCAATCCATCCTCCTTCAAATTAACCTTGTCCTCAAGGTTGAAAACTCGCGGATCGGGAACTGAAATTTGCAGACATAGAATAGACTGGAAAATATTCTTCTTCTCTTTCCTGAACCTTTTCCTGGCCGGTTATTTCACAGAATTCATGCTGCTTGAGGTCCAACTCTTCATCCTCCTCAGCTATCATTACCCGCAGCTGCTTAAAGGGACAATCATGTGTAGGTGTAAATGGTTTCTTGCACCTAAAGCATAATCCTTTCGCCCGCAGTTCTGCAAACTCTTTTGGCGGAGGACCCGCTCTCGACGGTCGTGCTTGGAGACTTCTCTGGCTGTACCATGGCCTTCGCGATTGCTGCCAGGGATGCTGCGATTTCCGCAAGTTGGGCGGCCTGCTCCTCCTGTTTCCGAGCTTGTACATCCAGTTTCTCTCCTTGTGAATCGAGCTTTTGATTGATTAGGGCCTGTTCGGCCTCCAATTCCGTCAGTCGTTCGTTCTGAGTTCTCGTCATTCTGGCGGGACGGGATCCGGCAGGTCGGACCAATTGATAAGAACAGAAAAATAAAATCAACGGGGTGAACCGTTGCCTAGATAATCAACGATAAATAAATACCGTTGCCCAAAGCCAAAAGGCTAAACCAACTTTTATTCCAAAATTATCAAGAATGAAGCATACAAGGGGTATAAATAACCCTCTAGGTCTAATAAGAATAGGAATCCTAATTAAATTAATCTAGGAAACTAAAATAGAATAGGAAACCTCTAGTTCTAATAGAACTCCTGATTAAATCATTCTAGGAAACTAAATAGAAATAGGAAACCTCTACTTCTAATAAGAATAGAAGTCCTAAATAAATCCTACTAGGAAACAAATTAAATTAGGAAACAAAATAAAAGGAATAATAAATATTAATTAAACAGCCCGCAACCAGCCCACGGAGGTGGGCTCAAGCCTGTCCCGCCCCATGCTCTTCCTGCTTCATATCAATTAGATTCAATCTATCTGTATGTAATAAATGCTGATTTAGCTTATGTATGCTTGTGTGAGAACTCTGAAGTCTGAGATGAAACTGTATGGAGGGGTTGACCCTACGGCTCTTAAACAACATTTTGGGAAGAAGATTCTAGAACTTGAAGAAGAGAAAAGAGACGTACAGAGAGATAGAGATCGCTTGTTAGCTGAAGTTGAGAACCTTGCAGCTAATTCTGATGGACAAACACATAAGTTGCAAGATATCCATGCCCAAAAACTTAAAGCACTTGAAGTTCAGGTTAATTTCCATTTCCTCCTTAACACTTTAAGATATCAATTTATTGCTTATTAGTAGTTTCATTAGGGTATATATTTTGGAAAATTGTCCACTTATGGTCCCAAAGTTTCAAAGTTTTCTCATTTGTGTTGCCCGACAATGAAATCTTTCCTTTTTTGGCCTCTCCGTCCACTTTCGGAAATGCTTATTTTTTGACCTTTTTTGTCTTTTATTTTTCTCTTGACTGTCAGAAAGTTTAATATATTTACTTACTCCAGATACTAGACCTTAAGAAGAAACAAGAGAGCCAGGTTCAGCTTCTAAAGCAAAAACAAAAGAGTGATGAAGCTGCTAAAAGACTAGTTGACGAAATACAATCAATCAAAGCACAGAAGGTGGAGCTTTACTCTTTCTTTATATCCTTTCCAAATTCAAATTTCTTCAGTACTGAATATAACGCTTGTTATATGTGTTCTCTTAGGTCCAATTGCAACACAAAATTAAACAAGAAGCTGAACAATTTCGACAATGGAAGGCGTCTCGGGAAAAGGAGTTATTGCAGGTAGCTTTTATCATTATATGTTGCTTTTGACATATATTCATTCTTATAATTGCATAGTATTATACTATCAATTGTTTATATATATATATATATATATATATATATATATATATATATATATATATATATATATATATATATATAGGGTAAGGTTCAAGTGAGAAGAACACTTTAGGTGAGAAGGGAGAATGAATCTCAACCATTGGATTCGACTAAGTTGCAGTAAAAAGACACTTCATGATGCACTGAAATATGCAATCTAGCATGGTGGCATTTCTGTAAATACTTCTGAAAAATCCGTGTTACACTTGTCTAGTGCAACATGAAGCTATTTCGGTGCAACGACGTCAAATATTAGTGCAACATGAAACAGTTTTAGTGCAACATTGCAAAATTTAAATATTGCTGCAACATAAAACCATTTTTAGTGCAACTTCGTAAATCTAATGGCTGAGATTCATTCTCATTTCTCACATTAGATTCATTTCTCACTTGAACCAAAATCTTTCTCTCTCTATATATATATATATATTGAGTAAGTACTTAGTCCATTGAAATATTACATTTCTTTACACTCAGCTAAAGAAAGAGGGAAGAAGGAATGAATATGAGAGGCATAAACTTCAAGCTATGAATCAACGCCAGAAAATGGTGATTATTCTTCCCTTGCTACTTATCTTTGTATATAATAAACTCATACATGACAAAGTTAATATATATTTCAGGTTCTTCAAAGAAAGACAGAGGAGGCTGCAATGGCTACTAAGAGGCTTAAAGAATTGCTTGAAGCACGGAAATCCTCAGCTCGGGAAAATTCAGGTTTGCCCTTGAAACTTACCTAAGTTAATGCTTGCTTAGTCCTCCCATAGCAAAGTATAATCATAACGAACACATATTACCAAAAAATACTTCAAGGTGAGTAAAAAGTGCGGTAGATTTGATGGTTTTTCTTTGGGATAATGCAGTGAATAGCAATGGACATGTATCAAATGGACAGGTAATAATGTAATACTCTCTATTATTCTTTCATTTATGATTTGTTTTTTCCATACCTGTAACTATGGATTATTGTACTTAACTAAAAGTTTGCGTTCAGAGCAATGAGAAGTCCTTGCAACGTTGGCTTGAAAATGAGCTTGAACTAATGGTCAATGTTCACGAAGTTCGTTATGAGTATGAGAAGCAGAGTCAAGTGTATGTAAACACTGTAAATCAACTTTATGTGTTTAATTTTCTTTTCTTTTTTTAATGATTTCTGTGTTGACTACTTGTTTTATCTGCTTCTGGTCATTTCAGTAGAGCTGCATTGGCAGAAGAGCTATCTGTTCTTAGACAAGTTGATGAATTTGCCTCAAAAGGGGTTACCCCTCCAAAGGGAAAAAATGGTGTTTCTAGGTGTGCAATGATTACTCTTCTTATTTCATCTGTACAATCTTGATATATTTTATATTAGGGTAGGGTCATGCAACCAAGTCACCATACCCAAGAGATAGATTCTTATGGATTAGCTTGTTTAATCTAAACACCTTATAAACCTTTATGTTATTCTTTTGTATTCTGACAACGACAATGGACTTTGACCATGTTTAATCTAAGACCTTACTAATTCATATAAAATGTTTTTGTATGTTCCTATTAGGTCAGCGGTTTAAAACAGAACTTTAAATCTTAATATTGTATCAAAATCAATTAAGTTTAACTAGCAGCTTGATTATGATAAGCGTCTAAATGAGCATGTCGACTACCATTTAGGTTGGCACCAATGTCTTGATAAATAGACATAGATTTTATCTGTGTGAGATATCTTTTCAAAATCTATTTAACTTGTATCTATTTGTTGCAGAAATATATTTCTGTAAACTAATGTACGTCTTATGTTCAGAGCTTATTCAATGTCTCCAAGTGCTAGAAGGGCAAGGATTGGTTCTCTTGAAAACATGCTAAGCATCTCATCAAACTCACTAGTCGCCATGGCCTCGCAGCTTTCGGAAGCCGAGGAGCGGGAACGTGGCTGTAGCAACCGCGGCCGTTGGAACCAACTGCGTTCAATGGCTGATGCTAAACAATTGCTACAGTATATGTTCAATTCTCTAGGAGATGCAAGGTATCTGCTGAGTCTGCTGACTCATTGAAGTTTTTCTATCTATTATATCTATTTGTTAAGTTACCTCACACTGAACATTTATTAATTTATAAACAAACATATAAGGTATTATGTGATTACTCATTTCCCTTTCCGGTTGACCGCTTGTCTTAAATATCAGATCATATTATGTTCTAACAAGCAATTCAATCACTGTAGTATGGTTAAAAATCCAAAAGCTCAAGATTAGTGTGTTCTAGTGAGTTCCATCAGCTCTACTTCTGTGTGTAAAAACACCTCACACAGCACATATTTAAAGGTGTAAACGAACATAAGACACTTGAGTTAGTCTTTTAGGATAGAACCCCAATTCTTGATATTGTGAACATGTGCAATACATGTTTGGCAAACCATTAAGTATAGTAAAAATCTCTTGCTCTACGTGCTCTTCCCAATAGGTGCCAACTGTGGGAGCAGGGACTTGAAACTAAAATGATGAAAGAGCAAATGAACGAACTAATTGGGGTCTTACAAGAGAGTGAGGTTAGAAGAATGGGGGTTGAAAAAGAGCTCAAGCTGAGAGATCAAACTCTTGCAGTTGCACTGGCAACTTCAGCTTCGGTATGATTTTGTCTTCAAATGTCACGTTTCTGTAAAACTGTTTGATGTATCATGATTGCCTTCCAAATTTCATATCTTTTATGATGACTCTCATATGCAGCAGGGTAACTCAAACAAACACTTCACTGATGAAATGAGCGGTCCATTGTCTCCAGTACCAGTGCCAGCTCAGAAACAGCTGAAATACACACCTGGGATTGCAAATGCTTCTATCCGAGATTCAGCAGCCTTTGTAGATCAAGCCCGAAAGGTTTGACATTTACACTATTTTCCTTCTCATGGTGCCTTTTTTATGGGTTTCTTATGAGTAAAAAACTTGACTTGGTATCCTCTACAATACATTATGGCTCAATTTGGTTCTTAAACTGAAATTTGATCCAGTTTTGTCCTCATGCATATTTTACTCTACATACGAAGGGTATTTTTGTTCATCATTAATTAAAAATCCTTTTTGGCTTTCAACTATGTAATGTGGACTTAATTCAGTCCTCATTGTACGGGGATATGTTCAAAAGTTTGTCCCACTTTGCTCAAGTATAAAATAATAAACCAACATATTAGATCTAGGGCTCCTCCTCCAGTAATGATGATAGATCTTGGGCTATTCCTCCTATTTGATTTGTTTTCCAAGTTGCAAGTCCAAGTCTTAACATGATATCATAATATTAATTTGGTATGTGCCCTTATGAAAATTGAAATAATGTATATCTAATTAACAAACCAACTTATAAGATTTTGAGCCATTCCTCGTGCAACAACAACATCCAAGCCATTCCTCGTATTAAGTTTTAATAAAATAATCTTTTCTTTATTACAGCTATGTGTGAGGACTAATTTGAATCTATCAAACTTAGGACTCAATGACCTAATCAAGTTCAATAGAATGTTGAAGGTGAATTTGAATACTGTAATAATGTGTAGTCGAGGGACCAAATTGGGTATTAATTTGTGTTGTTCTCCTGTTTTATCTTAAAATCCTTACGTCACTATACTTGTGGTGAGGGTAGATGGTGCCGGCCGGACAGTTATCAATGAAGAAATTAGCAATGGTAGGGCACGGTGGAAAGCTATGGAGGTGGAAGAGAAGTCATCACCAATGGCTCTTGCAGTTCAAATGGAAATGGCAAAAGCCTTGGAGACTTTCTGAGTTGATCAGACACAGTGATGAAACCATCATGAGGACAAAGCCTTATGGACATTCTCTTCCGAATAATATCTCATCTAGAAATGGCCATTAGCATCGTAATGAGCAAGAAATTACATTCCTGTTTGACCTTTTCTTCAGTCTACTATTAAATGGCAAAGGAAAGGATTAAGTTCTTGGATTTAAGAGAAGGTAAGTTCTAGTTATCATCTTCATTTTGCTTGTTTTTCTTTAGACTTATTGTTCCAACTACCTTGTACGGGTACTTTACAGCCTTAAATGTGATTTTGCATATTCATGGTATGAAATATGGATAAACTTGTATTGACATTGGTTTTGTAATCTGCAGGTTGCATTTATGGGGAAGGAGTTTGGAGGGAGGAGTTTGTATAAGGTTTTTAACAGAAGAAAATGTACTGTTAGGTGAAAAGAATTTTGGTTTTAGATCATCAGAATTGTCTTGTGAATATGTTGGGTTGCTACTTGCTACATATAGTCTCACCATAATAGTGAAAGAACTTAAGAAGATCCCCTCAGGTCAGAGGATTGCATTTTGCTGGTCTATTTTCAGACAATAAGAAGGAGAAATGCCAGATGTGTGTATAGATTTTAGCAAATAACAGGAGTAATAAGTGTATTCTTAAGTAAGTGCAGTCATGCCTAGGAAGGTATTTTTTATTCTTTTAAATTTGTTGTTTGTATCAAATTTGTTTAGAGTGTAACTGTGTAAGCACAAAAAGGGCAGTAGTAGAAATAAGCTTTGAGTTCTGAAGTGTTTTTGTGATCTCTACTCTCGTTTTAGCGGTCAATCTATTTATAACTCAACAGTCAAAGTGTTTAGTAAAAACTTCAGGCATATTCTGCAGTAAAAAAAGCAAGTAGGCAACTAGGCAATTATTGATGTCTCATGTCTTCCAAAAAATATTACGCCATCACAATGTATTTTATAGGCCTGATCTTCACACTTGACTACTTGAGTATGAGTTAAACTTTACAGGCCCATTTTGAATTACACTCTGATTTATTTGGACCTATTGCGGTTCTCTGGTTTAGTTCAGCCCATTATCGTGTCACTGCCCGCAGAATTTAGACCTGTACAAAACCGGGCCGGCCCGCCCGGCCCGCCCAGCCCGCCTGCACAAATTAGCGGGCTTGGGCATATAAATTTACCCACTGACCCGGCCTGTGCCCGGCCCGCAACAACATATGGGCGGGCTTGGGTTAGGGTGTAGGCCCGTTCGGGCCGATAAGCCCGGCCCGCTACATTTAGTATATATACATATATATATTTTTATATATACTAGTTTATGTATTTATTTACATGTACACATGTATATTTTTATATTTACTAATTTATCTCTATATATATTTATAGTTTATTATGTTTAAATTTAAGTTTTTAGTTCTTAACAAATAGTCCAACCAATATAATATCTATTTTTGTACTTAACGATAATACTTTGTGCATGAATTTTAAATTTTAGATATAGTTTCTCATTATTATTTTTGTGTAAATATTTTTTGTGTATGTGATGAAAGGCCTATATACATTATAAGCGTATTAGCAATTTTTTAAATGTTGTAATATTATTTATAAAGTATTAAATAAATTATTTAATTTTGAAAAATTTAAAGTCTTCCCGGGCCCGGCGGCCCGGTGGACTACCCGGCCCGCTCTTACGGGCGGGTATGGACATGGGGTTAGGCCCATTTTTGCGGGCCGGGCCCGCCCACACACGATGGGCAGAAAACTTATGAAAAGCCCGGCCCAAGCCCGACCCGAACCCGCTTTTGTGCAGGTCTACTGCAGATCTTGTAAATAAAAGCTCAACTGAATAGAATTTGTTACAATAGAAGATAAAAGCTTTTAGAATGTAACAAGCACCTATTATTATAACTAGGCATGAACTCGTTCCAGTTCCAGGTCGGTTCTGGTCCCAGAGACCCAGACTGGTTCTAGGGAGTTGAGTAGGGGAACTGGGATTGCAACCTCCATTTCTAGTCCTTGACCGGCCCCAGCCCCGTTTTATATTTTTTATGTAATTTAAAACCCTTCTAACCTCCATTTTTAGATTTTAAATAAATCTACACTCTTTTGAAATGCTTCCAAATGCTTAAAATGAAAAAGGAAAGAACGGTCAGATTGACTGTTTCCGGTCTCAAGAACATAGTCCGGGAACCGTACCTATGGATCCCCTGAGGGCTGAGGCTGGTCTATTAAGCGAAGCGCCCAAACCGATATCGAGAATCACTCAGTTACAGACTATTTACGATTAAAACCACTCCTAATTAAAACCAAGTTCAAGGTTAAGGGATGATATGGGCTGATTTTTTTTTTTTGATCGTGCTGATATGGGCTGATTTAGATTAAGTTATAGTTTAGATTGTTTTTTGGGTTAAATGACTACATAGCCTAAATAAATATGATAGAACAAATTAATAACCTATATTTGTTTTTTTTAAGTGCATAGCACTTTTGTACTTAATGTGAAGCAACGTGTTCATAATTCACTAATGCAATCGTCTCTTTTACTCAATTAAATGAGTTAGTTATTTAATTAAATGAGTTAGTTATGCTATTTGTTTAATTTATAAAAAAATATGACATAAATTTAATTGCACATATTTAAAGTTGTATATACACTCAAATATTCCTTGTTTTTATTATTTAGTTTTCATAAGAAAAAAAATATTGATCCTAGTTCGATTAACATTGATTAAAGATGGAAGTTCTAGACTTCTAGTCAGAGTTTGGTCTAAAAACATGCTATGCGAACTGTCAATCCAAATTGAGGTTGCATGGAGTTTTATTTTAAAAAATGTGATCATGTAAAGTAGGGGTACACAATTTGGTTTAATATTCGGTTTTTATCGATTGTGATTTATTTAGTTTGAGACATATTATTGTACCAAACTAAAAGAATGTGTGCTTCGATTTGGATTGAGATCCTCTGCCCGACTAGGACGGTGCCTTGCGCATCGGACGGTCGGGCAGTAGCAAAGCAGGCCTCGAGATTAGCGAAAAAATGGAGCCCAAGATCTCAGACCGTTGAATTGTTGATCGAACGACCCGGAAGAAGCAAAACACCCTACCTTACTTTAAAGTAAGGTAGAGGCTCCAGATCCCTTCGATTTGGTTTCAATTTGATGTGGGAGTTGTTTGATTCTGTTTGGTTTCAAGTACGGATTACCAAAGTGAAATTTGTTGTTTTGGATTAATTTGGTTTCATATGTTTATTGGTTTATTTGATTGATACATCGAAGTTCTATTTTGAAAAAATTCACATGAATAATCACAACTATTTGTGGTCTTCTCATATTAATCCCAACTTTAAGTATTTCCTATACAATTTCAATTATAAAGTGTATCTTGTCATAACAAACCCATGACCTCCATAAACCTATTCAGAAAGTCACCTTGCCACGTGGCTTTTTTTAACTGGACTATATATTTTCAATTTTTTCATTTGTTTTTATTTTACTTTTACTTTATTTTCTTCCCCCACCCAACTCCATACTAATATCTTCTCCGTGCTCCAAGCTCTGTCCTTTTTTTTCTCTCTTTCACCCCTCACGAGTCTTATTTCTCCCCTTCTTTCCGATAAAAGCCCCTTCTTCATTTTTTCTTGTATTTCTAACATTTCCTCTTCTTGAAGAGGAAACCCCTGTAGCGGGGCCAATTTATGAGGATCAAAGCTTCCAACCCCCTTCAAATGGCGGCAACCTTTGTCTTTGAAAGATCTGATCCCTGAAGATGAAGTGCGTGGGAGAGTGCGTTGTCATGCTACTTTCAAATACTTTCAACTTTTTTATCAGATACGCAACTCTTGATTTCGCGCAGTAAATTGTGTAATTATTATTTTTAATTGGAAACTAATCATATATTACTACAATAAATCATTCTCCAACTAAAGCACAATGCAATTAGGCGAAAACGAAAAATATAAGACTATCAATCATAGAAAGTGCAGCCTTTTCTAGGGTATGAGCCACACTATTCGCGCATCTTCAATAATGGATGACTTCTATCTCAACTTCATTTTGATGAATGTGTCTTATGTCGTCAAGAATTGAGTCAAAGTAAGACTCGCCCTCTCTGTTAATAATTCCCGAGGCTACCATCAAAGAATCTGTCTCAACTTGAACCTTTGGCCACTGCTGTGTTCTGACCTAAGATGACGTTTCTCTGACTCCTATAGCCTCCGCCACTCTAGCCGTCCAATCCGCACGGACCTTCTGGCAACCTACCAAAATGAACTATCTCATGTCATCTCTGACAACCCACGCCCAAGCTCGGATACCACCGTTTGTGTCAAGAGCCGCATCAACGTTAATTTGTACCGCTCCTTTCCTGGGTTGTTGTCATTTGGTACCACTTGCTCCCCTCCCGCTTTCCCCCGGGAGATTCTGGTCACTCTCCAATTCCTCAGCATAGATGCCCCCACTTTCATTATTTGCCGCCACCTGATTTTCTTATTTTTCCAGACCTTGTCATGTCTTGCTTTCCAAATACTCCATAAGCAACAAATAAAATGACAAAGCTCCTCTTGCGGCAAACTTTCAAAGAAGCTTTTAATCCATTCCCCAAACGTGGCACCTTGTCTCAAAAATTTTACCCCCCTCTGTCTCCAAACAGAACCTGCAGGGCACATAAATATTTACCTTCCTACGGCGCAGGTTATTGGCCGTGGGTAAAACACCCACCATAACTTGCCAGGAAAAACATTTTATTTTTGGGGAATTTGAAAATCCCACTTTTTTAGCCCATCCCATCCAACCATTAACATTACCCCCCCCCCCCCCCCCCCCCCCCCGAAGAACTCTATAACCACTCCTAACCGTGTAAATACCTTTAGAGTCTTCTGCCCACCACCAATCATCCGTAGGCTTCCTCTTGCTAATAGGGATAGAAATAATGGTCGTGCATTCGTCTGATAAGAAGAGCGTCACCACCTTTTGCTCATTCCATTCATCTCCGGTCTCGTTCAGAAGGGTTGCAACATCCATATCTACTATACCCGCATGCGGTGGAATATGTATCTTTCTTTCTCCGGAACCCGGCAACCATTTCTTCCTTCAAACCTAAATTGTTCGTCCGTTACCCACCTTATGGCGAGCTCCCCGTGCGACCATCTTCTAGGTCTGGAAAATGCTACTCCAAACGAAAGAGGGATTATTTTCCAAGTATGCCTGCAAAAAAGATGAAATAGGGTAATATTTAGCCTTAAATATCCTTCCAATCAGGGATTGGCAATTTTTAACAAGCCTCCAAGCTTGTTTTCTCAGCATTGCCACATTAAATTCTCTCAAGGATGTGTATCCCACATAAATAATAGAGTGCTTGTCATTTTTTCCATCTAATTCCTTCCATGTTTTGATTAGCTCCCCTATTCGTAAATTTATTTTGATCGTAAAATATATTTTAAACATTGTTTTTCAAAATTAAGCAGAATCAGCCAATTCAGACTCTTCATCTAGAATTTTATAATTTTTTGCATCTGCATCCAATTTAGCATTACCAAACACACTCTTTATCATACTCCTACATACTTCCTAATAACAATGAATTATAGTACTGTCATTATAAATAAAGTGTTAATATAATATTTAGGCAAAACGTTGAAATAAACTCTTCTACTATTTAAATCCATCATTTGAATCCCTATATTTAAAAAATTAATCACAACAGGTCATGTTTGAAAATTTACGAAAACTAATAAATTTAAAAAATTCAAATAAATCTAAAATAAAGAAATATAAACACACAAGATACTAGAAGTGTCATAATAAATAAATAATTTTAAAAAATTAGAAAAAAAAAAACGTATAAAGTATAAAATGCACAAAACAATTCTCCCAAAAAAAATATACACTTTGACATGCAATAATATTTTAATTTTTTATGTTTTCACGGATTTTAACCGTTTTATTAATTTATTTTGAAATAACTTGATATAATAGGTCAAATTGCCAGATTTGTAGAATTCTTTTTGTGAACAT